TCTGGACCAGACAATCCAGCGATCAACAGCATGAGCATCGATCTACGCAATTGGGATTTGATGACATGTGTCAACCAAGACAGTGAGCCGTACCACCCGATCCCGTTAGTCGCCTGGTACGACAAGCTTGGGTTACTGAAGATCAATTCTAACCCGGATCTTCACGGATGAGCTCACATACAGGACTGTAGGCATGAGATTCCACCAGAAGTACCAAACCCTACTGTGACACATATCAAGAGTAGGTCAAGGTCATGAAGTGACAGATGACAGCTTGGCGGAATCGACACAGTTTCAATGCATGCATCTGATACATATATGCGACCTTATTATGAATTTGAAATTGATTAGCTGACACAGTAAACCTTTGTGAGAACTTTTATTACAGTTCACATTATTGATGAAAATTTTAACGCCATGTGTTCAGGCATTGTTGATAAAATGTCAACTAGGTATAACATTTTTGCTTTAAAAACGACAATTTCTTGAAATTGATACAAAATATGGTGCTGTTTTGAATTTGTATGCATTGTTAATAGACTGATAGGAATGAGTAAGGATTAAATTGTACTGGTCCAGGCAATTTCTTCTTGTTGTCCAGAGTTGCTTCCCTTTGCCATGCCATTATTTGTTGGTCTTGAGTTCAAGTCACAGATTGGCCTAGCCTCAACAATAAACTCACAAAACAAAAAATGAAAGCGATTCGTATTTGGGTACCATTTTTAAAATATTGTTTAAATACATTGTTGAAACATTATGTAAGTGAATAAATTATGAAAACAGAAAGGTCAGTGTTCTGATCTGTTATCGTTGCTTTAAATGTAGAGTATAGTGTCGAGGTTGGTCCTGTGAGTCATGCACACTAAGTCCCGGGCAGTGTTCTTGCTGGGCCAGTACACTGGACTAACCTGACCTATTTTAACTTTAAATATTTCTGTGTATTTAATGCATTCAGTTAATGCTCTGCAGATCTTTCCTCTTACCACAGGCTTGATAATGGGACAGGATTAAGAGATTAAGTTTTTAAGTGATGATTCATACGCACTGAGGATTGAAATGTGTGTGTGTGTGTGTGTGTGTGCATGCATGCGTGTTGTCTGTCTGTCTGTGTCTGTCTGTCTCTATATCTCTGTATGCTGGAGCCTGTGCGTGACTGTCTCTGTGGATGTTATACTCTGTGTGTGCCTGTTTCTGTGTCAAATTATATGTCAGTGTGTGTGTCTGGGTTGAAGTCAGACATTCAAGTCAGATATGTTACCTCTGTTCTCCATACACTTTTTGGTATTTATTTCTGAAATTTGACTTAAAAAATATTTCCATATGTATCCAAGTTATCTCCAATTTGTTAAGGTCTGACTCTGTTAATAAATCAATTACTTATTAAAGAGGTTCCTTGTGGTAGAGATATCACAATATATGAACCACGACATTGTGTTGAAAGATGGTACTACCTGGCACTCTTGGCATTAAGTAGAGTTAGTGAGTGTGTCAGTTTAATTTTACACCGCACTCAGCAATATTCCAGCTTTATTGCAGCGGTCTGTAAATAATCAAGTCTAGACCAGACAATCCAGTGATCAACAGCATAAGCATCGATATACACAATTGGGATACGATGACATGTGTCAACCAAGTCAGTGAGTCTGACCACCCGATCCCGTTAGTCGCCTCTTACGACAAGCATGGGTTACTGAAGACCAATTCTAACCTGGATCTTCACAGGTGCATTAAGTATATACAAATGTGGGAGTCATTTTTGGTGTTCCCCGCCGTGATATTGCTGGAATATTGCTAAAAGCGGCATTTAACGCAACTCACTCACTCACTCTTAGGCTAGACCAATTTTTTTGTCTTGTTTTATGGACCTGCCACAAATACAAAAATAAATGTTAATGTTAAGATATACGGGAGCGAGATTTCAACTACTTAAGGCAGTTTGTTGGACACTAAGACATGGGTATCCATTCTCAGAGATTTTAAACTGAATTATCTAACAATATTTGTGTTAGAAATCAGTGCTTTGAGCACCTCAGCGGGTGTGAACTTGAAAAACAATGCCTTTTGAAAACCTTTTTTTTTGTGTGTATTTTTTCCCCTCCTGCCTTTAGGTTTTCTGAGGACAAAAATCTGTAAAACAAGAAATAAAATTGGTCTGGCCTTAGTGCATGTGTACAATGATTCACATCAATATCAACATGATGTTCAACCCCAGCTGACCCAACCTTGCCTCTGTGTGTGTGACCTTGATGATTGAGTCTCCCCAAACTCTGACCTGATTTCTCAGTGAATGTGTACACTGGTGCATCTGGTCATGCCTTAACTATATACAAGCAGCCATGTCATATTGTCTGTAATATTTTCTATGCTGAAGCACAATTAAAATTTATTCAAAGCCAGGAAATGTTTGTAAACAGATCTCAGTTAGAGACATTAATGCTTTGTTTTATGGTCGAAGTCTTATCAGCATTTTATCACTCCAGGGGCGGTGGGGTAGCCTAGTGGTTAAAGTGTCCGCTTGTCACGCTGAAAATACGAGTTTGATTCCCCACATGGATACAAATTGTGAAGCCCATTTCTGGTGTCCCCTGCCGTGATATTGCTGGAATATTGCTAAAAGTGGCGTGAAACTAAACTCACTCACTCATGTCTAGTTGGAGTTCGTTTGATTGTGTCTGATTGTGTTGAGAACGATATTTCAAAGTTTTCACTCACATTCATCATTTCCGATTCCACAAAAAGCCCCACATCCTACTTCCTCCTTGTGATCAAAACTTACATAGGAAGTTTTCCTTGCTAAATAAGTAACGCTAAACATAGATGATAAGGTCGTCAGCTGATCGCTGACATCTGACCTCAGGTTAAATCACATTAGTTCCTTATATTGTGAAGGCGATTACCAACACTGTCTGGTTGTAATACTCTCCCGACAGCTCATTACAACTATGAGGTTGTTTTGTTTTCCTCCGCAGAAGGTACGAAAAGGAACATTTCCCTTTGTTTTAGTTTTATCGTTTTATTGTTTTATTATCATTGTTATATCTCAGGCTCCTGAAATTTAATGTTTGATTTTAAAGTTATCACAGCTGGAATCTAAGCTTGCAGATTTTCATGTTAATCCTGCCTAGGGCGGAGGTTTGAGGGTTGAGAAGTTGTATAGTGTAATATCATTATGGATCTTAATGTTAGGAAATGAAATATAACAATATAAGATCATAACATACACATGAGGTATTTGACATTTTTTTTCATTAATATCATTTCCTGGTTCTTTTTGTATTTAATTCATAACTGTGGTTTAATTATACCAGTTTGAAAAGTACAAGAGACTTTTATTATTATTATTATTATTTGTTTTTTCATGTCTACATTAACCCCATCTTATACTGAACACTGTTACACGTTGAGGGGCGGTGGGGTAGCCTAATGGTTAAAGTGTCTGCTCCTCTTGCTGAAGGCCCGCACCATGATATTGCTGGAATATTGCTAAAAGCGGCGTAAACCCATACTCACTCACTCTCTGTTACACTTTTAGCACACGGTGATCAGGTTTCTCTAAATGTTCTGTTTGAATCTTAGATCCATGTTTGAAAGAGAACAATATTGATGAAATTGAATTTTTATTTAAAATTTTATATTAAAATGGACTCCGTCCGTGCGTCCGTCAGTCCGTCCGTCCGTCCGTGCACATTTGTCTTTTCCAGAGCATAACTCTAGAACCCTTCAATGTTTCTTCACCAAACTTGGCACATAGATAGAGACTGGTGGTGAACTGGTGCCTTTTGGTAGTTTTGGAATTCTGAATAAAATATTTTTGGCATTTCCATGGCATCAAGTTTGAAACTTTAAAAACCTTTCAATACTCTCCTTCCACTTTTCTATATACACACCTAAATATTTGACTTAATCATAACTCGTAGACATAATCATGAAGAGTATTTTGCCATTGCGGGGGAAATTGATGACTTTGTCTTCTTGTTTTACTTGAAACAACAAGAAAACAAAGGTTATTAGTGTGCCAAAAGCATTTTAGCCTGCCAGGCCGAACCAGTCTGTTGGCATAATTTTCAGTGTTAATGTATAGACATATCAGCAAAGCTTACTTGACCGAAAGAGTGAGTGAGTGAGAGTTTAGTTTTACGCCGCCACTCGGACCGAAAGAAATTTGACTTGACTCTGCCTTCGGACAAGTGACTTAGAAAGTCTCTGACTGATGAGGTAGTTCTACACTGAGAGAGTTCACCTTGTGTGTTTCTTTCTTTAGTCTCAAACAGAGGTGTTGGTGCAAACCTTCATATTGATTTTAAAGTCCAAACAATTGTCAAAAATATTGTCCTGATACAATATGAAATATTTTCAATTTTCCTGTTTCCTGACATTTGGACTTCTGATAGATAGTGTTGAGGAAAATAGTTTACTAAATCCCATATCACATATTTCATTGAGGAAGCCGTGTGATACAAAGATTGTATGATGTATGGTAATGTGTAACCATGAAATATGTTTCCTTGTAAATATTGCATGTATTTAGCTACAAAACCCTGTGGTGTTACGAACAATAACAACTATGATCATGAATATGAATTTCCTCATGGTATAATAATAATACATTTTCTATTGACAACGGGAAATATTACATTTACACTTTCTTCAGTTGTTTTTCACAAAATCATAATTCACGTTGAATATGTCATATTTTGTGTACAGATGTGATTTGCATCATGATCAAGAACTAGAGGTGGATGTTTGATGCCATTTAGAATTTAAACAAGCAAATGGTTACAATGGTGATGTATGAAAAGCGCTGCAATACTTCCTTGTCTGATGTGGCTTATATGAAACCTGACTGATAATAGACCTTTCAATTCGTCATTTTGAAGTTTGTGATAAACCTTTATACTGGTGCAATACTTTCATTTCGTGGGGTTCAGTCATCATGGAAGTATGTTTTGTGTCTTTTTTCTGTCGATTTTGATGTTAATTATGGTGTTTTGTAATTTCAGCAACGCTTTCATCGACAGGACTCTACATCTTCGCAGAGCAGTTCCAGTCGCCAGGACAACTCGGACCAACAAGTTAATGGCGATCGTGCACGTCGCCGAGGAAGTCAGTCATCATCCGTGAGCCAGAGCAGCTACAGTGCTCCTGTTTCTGTTGTTCAGCCAAGTGTGGTGCGTCGCGATTCCTTCGAAATGCCTCCAAGGACAATTATTGACTCACCTCGACCTCAGAGGTCAAGGTCACTACACAAAACACCCAGTGACAGTAACGTGCCAAGCCGCGGCGGGAGCTGTCGTCGGCATGATATGGGTGTAGGGGGGCAGGACGATAACATTAATCTACAACATGCTCATCACCCAAGGCAGAGAAGTTTTCCAGAACAGTCCATGGAAGGCTTCCCTACATCGGTGAGTTACGTGCGAGCAGATAACTATGCTCAGGATGTGCTGAGCGGACATGAACGTCTCTATAGTCCCGATCTCCGAGGAAAAGACGAATATTTGGCGTTCAGTCAGGACATTGTGAACCAGCAAGGAAACATCAGCCCCATTCCACAAAAACCTAAACTTCGTTTCCCTCGAACCAACCCTGCCTATATCGGCATATCGAAACGAGATGGTAACACAGCTTATAAGAAAATCAATGTAGAAGGTCAAGGCGGGGTATGATTTACCATACCCAGCAGACCCAAGCATGTATTCTAGTATGGGAATTCAGACATCCCAGTCTTACACAGACTGCCCCGAAAATTACATGTATCATCGACATGAACGATCGGACAGCGATACATCCCATTCTTCTAACCGAGGTCATTATCTCTGGCACGACAGGACAGACAGTCAGACGTCTCATTCGTCCCGAAATCGGGAACTGTCTGACAGCCAGTCATCGCAGGGTTCGCTACGCAACATGTCAGATACCCAGTCATCGGCTGGGTCGTTGCGGAACTTACAGGATAGTGCTGTTTCTGTTCAAGACAGTGTTTCGTCAAAAGGATCGGGTCGGAGCACCGACCCAGATATTATGCATGATCGGTCAAATAGTCAGTTGTCTCAGAGGTCAATCACAGTGACCAATTCGGAGCCAGATCAAGAACCGGATTATGCCAATGTTCCCGGGTATTCATCCCACAATCCTCAAAGACTACCCGCCGCCAAGCATCTATGATCAAAGTGTCTACAAATACAATGCACAGAACCGACCTCAGATACAGGACTACGAAGGTAGGATATAATTTGTATTATTAAGCATTTATGATTTCTTTACAGATGAGCACACCAACCTATTCAATGCAAGACTTGTGGCCTTAAGACATGTGAGGATCTACTGATCATGGAGCAAGATTTGGTTAACAGTTTTTGATTGTCCATGGGCCTGTTCCACAAAGCGATCGTAGCGCTATGACTGTCGTAAGTCTATGTTAAAGGATGGGAGTTACGATCATCTTAGCGCTACGATCGCTTTGTGGAATTGTTTCCAGTATAGTGGCCCTTATGGTATAGGTTAGTTAGCTCCATGGTTTGCAGATGGTTTGGATTTCAGTGTTTTCAGTGAACAAAGTCTCTATCGCCCTTGTGGAGAGGACTTACCTATGCTTACAAGTGGGTTTCACCAATTGTCTGCTCATCATCACTTTCTACCCTCATGAAGGAGGCATGCGATGATGAAACAGTATCAGTTTATCAGCTCACTTTATTTCCCAAGAGCCCTGGTTATATATGTTCAATCACCAGAGTTCATTGTTACAGTTTATTACTGTCTATAGTGTTGTTTCATTAGAAGGAATTTAAAGCATTCGCTCGTCACACCAAAGACCTGGGTTCTATTCCCCACATGGGTAATTTGTGTGAAGCCCATTTCTGGTGTCCCCTGCCGTGATATTGCTGGAATATTGCTAAAAGCGGCGTGAAACTCAACACACTCAATAGAGGGAAATATTTGTATATAGGTTAAATGTCATGCATAATGTGTTTTACACTTTCTGGACTCCTTCATGGTCCAGTAGATAAAACATTTGCCCCATTAGTGGACAGGTGGTTCAATTCCTGTTTTGATCATCGAAAAAACATTAAAAGAAGGTAATTGTTGTTACCCTGCCTTGTGCTTGGCATGTTTGACTGACTGACTGAGTTTTTTGCAATATTCCAGCAATATCACGGCGGGGGACACCAGAAATGGGCTTCACACATTGGTACCCATGTGGGGATTTGAATCAGCGCACTAGGCTACGCCTTGGCATGTTTGAGTCCAGCTAGGGTCCATGCAGGTAGCTCAAGTACTGTAAGTCCCCATGGTTCCTGGTATGGTGATCTACCTTCAGTTGTTGGTGATTTACAGTGTGTTTCTATATTGTATCGTCGTCTATAGGTAAAATGTTATAGATTTAATTACTAGTTTATATTTATATCTGTGATAGGTTAGTTGTTTTACTGTCCTTGGTTGACAGGAGTTTATAATTTACTTTTAGTTATTATGAATCTATAACTTGATTTAGTCACGATATAACTTAAATATTGCCGACTTTCACTCACTCACTCTCCACTCACTCACTCCTCACTTGGCATGTTTGGGTAAAAGGGTTAGTTTGTCAATCCTTCACTGTTCAAGTTTCGCATGTCGGTTTATGGACAGATATCCTCTTTGATGATTCAGTAAGCCTCAGCTCTAGGTATTGTTTGGTCAAACATAAATTTTCTTGATCTATGTGTAAGAGGTCACATGAAGTTGATGGACCCCAACTGACTTTGAGATCTATATGGGGGTGGAGCCGGGGTTAGCCTAGTGGTTAAAGCGTTCGCTCGTCACGCCGAAAACCCGGGTTCGATTACCCACAATAGTACAATGTGTGAAGCCCATTTCTGGTGTCCCCTACCGTGATATTGCTGGCATATTGCTAAAAGCGGCTAAAACCCACACTCACTCACTCAGTCACTCACTCGTGATCTATACTCAATAAAAAAAGTTAAAGACAACCCTAATTTTCAATATTATTTGAAGTATTTCATAGTTCATATTATGATCCATATAATATTTAAATATTGAATATTGTGATGGTCCTTAACTTTTTTGGATGAGTATATATACTACTCAAAAGAAGTAAAGAAACACCAATTCTTTCATAAGAAACTATAGACATATGAGGCAATTGTGTTCTTAACTTCTTTTGGGCAATATATATCAAATACTAAGCAGTTTCTGATACAAGAACAAATATTATTTTGAGGTTTACCAAATTCTTGGAAATAATTACTGAGAAAATGATAACTGAGCAAGTGGGAGATGTTATCGAGTTTACCAGAAATATTAAAATATCTTGTCACGGATATGGTTTCTCACGCATAGGCACTTACGTTTTCCTGTGAGATCACAGACCCATGAATATCACGTGTGTGGGTGTGGTCAGTTGAAGATTTTATTATTAGATTGGAAACTTCAAGTCTACATTTCTGGCACTGAACTATAATTAGAAACACGACATGGGCTATTTTAAGCAACAAAAACTTCCCAAATGAGCTGTCCACGGCAACCTCGACACAGTCATGTAGTCATATGATTTTACACATGGGCAAATCATGATGTGTTGGTGAAACAGTCTTATTACAACAGTCTCACTGAAGAAGACAGTACTGAAGCATGGGTTAGTATAGTCTTTGTTAGCTTGAGCCCTGAGTGTGAGGTCTTGTTTAACATTGTAGATGTATCGTTGTGGCTTAGATCCTGCTGTCATTTCCATTCACAAGGATCATACAGTAAGGATCTTTTTCGACAGGTCACTTGTCGTCTTACTTGCTGGTCCAAGATTCCTGTAATTTTAGTTGGTTATCCTTCTTCAGGCTTGTCATGTCGAACCGTTGTAACACAAGCGTTTGTTGACAGAAGCTTAGGGTGAGTGAGTGGACCCTGGTTTTAACAATAATCCAAGATCATCACAGGAACACCAGAAATGGTCTTCACTCATTGTACCCATGTGGGGAAGCAGATCGAGGTGTATGACCTTATGAAGCACCATACCTGTGCTCACGGGTTCATCAAACGTCTAGCTGCATTTCTTTGGGTTTTACCAGTCACTTTACCATATGAATGGAATATCATTCAAACAGGTATGAACCCAACTCACTCACTCACGCAGAGGGTGTATATATTTTCAAAGTTTGCTCTCTGTCATGGCCAGTCCTTACTTTAAGGGGGCGGTAGGGTGGAACAGTGGTTAAAGCTTTCGCTCTCAACGCCGAAGACCTGGGTTCGATTCCACTCATTGGTACAGTGTGTACAGCCCATTTTTTGGTGTCCCCCACCGTGATATTGCTGGAATATTGCTAATAGCGGCGTAAAACCATGCTCACTCACTTACTCACTGTACTCTATGTCCTCGGTTCTACTGTATGTTTACCTACCATTTCCGTTTTTCCTCCTTCAATTCAGGTATTCAGGACCAGGGGTTCGAGGAGTCCGACAGCAGTAGTGTTTTCTCGTGCAATTCTCCAAGGGGGCTAATCCAGCCCTCTCCTACTCCACTACAACAAGAGACCCACCATCCATCTCTACGCAGGAAGAAGGGTCCTCCAGTGGAACGTGGCTCGGAACCAGTCCCTGTAAATCCTGCCCTTGAGAAGAGCCAGTCCTTGCAGACGGACATCTCACAGCGCCCTCTGTCAATGGTTGTGGCTTCTCAGTCCGAAGCGAATATGTCGCTTAGTCCCAGCACAGGATCTCTAAACAGACAGGTATGTATCATCAGCTTTCATCGTAAACGTAAAAGTTAAAATCAATGTGTAGCCAAAAATAAGGCTCTTTGGTTTGAATTGATATCAATAATTTAACTCCATTGATATATATTGTTTAACCTGTCTCTACCACTCAACACCAGATCAAGAACACCCACAATTATGAGACTGTGTGTAGCAATATCCACAAGCCATGGCAGATAAAGTCATTTGGAAAATCAAATGTCCTTTACTTTTTTGAGTAGTATATGTGTAAACTTGTGGAACATTTATAAGAAAGATGTAAAACAAGTTTATAATTGAGAAAAAGTGAAAAGTTCTCTATCAAGAAGTATAATTGTGTTTACGTTCAAACAGCATTCTGTAGAAAGCTTAAAGCATACCCAGAGTTATAATTGAATTTAACACAATATTTTAGCTGGATCGAGTTGCAGAATGTAGAAAGCTTAAAGCATGCTGTACCCAGAGTTATGTCCCTTCCTTCTTAGTGCTAGATGACAGAATAGAACTTAACACCATATTTTAGCTGGATTGAGTTGTAGAATGTTAAAGCTTATAGCCTGCTGTACCCAGAGTTATGTCCCTTCCTTCTTAGTGCTAGATGACAGAATAGAACTTAACACCATATTTTAGTTGGATTGAGTTGTAGAATGTTAAAGCTTATAGCCTGCTGTACCCAGAGTTATGTCCCTTCCTTCTTAGTGCTAGAAGACAGAATAGAACTTAACACAATATTTTAGCTGGATCAAGTTTGTAGAATAATATCGAAATCATTTTTTTCAAGCAACAATACGTCAACTGTTATATTCTACATTTGTTAAATAAGCACCAGTGAATGTGTAAATTTAAAAATCATAAACAGCCAGGTTTAGAGAATTGAGTGTTTCCAAGACTAACCGATGTCTTTATACCTGCAACGCGTGAAGATCCGGATTAGAATTGATCTTCACCAACCCATACTTGTTGTAAGAGGCGACTAACAGGATCCGGTGGTTAGGCTCGCTGACTTGGTTGACACATGTCATCGTATCCCAGTTGTGAGATCGATGCTCATGATGTTGATCACTGTATTGTCTGGTCCAGACTCCATTATTTACAGACCGCCACCATATAGCAGGAATATTGCTGAGTGCGGCTTAAACAACAAACAAATCAAACAAATCTTTATTCCGGTATACAGACTGTAACCATATAGCTGTAGTTATAGCTGCTGCAGTAAATGATATGACCCCAAACTCACTCACTCACCCACTAACTCACTCATTCACTCATCTCAGCAACATGCCCCCTGAAGTAGACAGGCAACGGGTTCAGACTGAGGCCAGCTGTCATGTATGATGTAGAATAACATCATTTATATGTCAACATAATAAAGATAAATCCAAATGGAGTTTCTGCTTGATATTAACCTGGTGCTGGAGCAATCTACACTTGAAAATCATTCTTGACTTGAGTTGGACTCTTTTTGTGAGTCTCCAATGTTTGGGACACAGACTGTGCTGCTAATGTACACCCTGATCTGGCATCCATCTACTCTCAAGAATCTGGAAAAGTTTCCATTTGAGAAAATATTCTTAAAAAGTCACAACTGGGAAAATTATCTGTGTGTCTCTCTAACCCGTGAAGATCCGGGTTAGAATTGGTCTTCAGCAACCCATGCTTGTCATAAAAGGTGACTAATGGGATCGGGTGGTCAGGCTCGCTGACTTGGGTGACACATGTCATTGTGTCCCAATTTTGTTGATCGATGCTCATGCTCTTGACGCTCATGCTCTTGATCACTGGATTGTCTGGTCCAGACTCCATTATTTACAGACTGCCGCCATATAGCTGGAATATTGCTGAGTGCAGCGTTAAACACCTAAAAACAGTCCTTTGTATAATTATGAAAATATCCCGAAACAATTCATAACACGTTATGTTGGAGACATTTTAAAACCATTATAACTTTTCTTCAGTAAGACAGCAGTCAGTCCTAATCTCTAAAATATTTGAAATTCTCAAATATTGTTTCATAATCAGATTATCATAACATAGACAGCAGTAATAACAGCCTGATATCTCTCAGCTCTTGTGAAGTCAATCATGTCCAGGGAGACTGCCTGTGGTCAGGGCTGAAAGGGTTAACTATGTAGGTAATGCCTCATGCATTTCCTGGTGTCAGCCGCACCTGTCTATCACTGGACAGTGGTCAGCTGGTTGTGGGAGCTGATGGCAAATCTGGGCAATGGAGAAATATGAGTTTTCTATATGATGAAAATGGAAATTCGGAATTTGAGGTACAGTTTTGATCTGATTTATGTAATTTGGGGATATAGTTGTCAATCTTTGAAAATAACCATTTAAGTCATAGCCATGTTGAAAGTTACAGATTCTGGGAGCTGTGGTATCAAATAATATATCTGCATAGATCAAGGACTTGAGGACACTACATAGTTTTAGCTTAAATAGTCCTAATTTGTCAGTGGTTAAAACTCTAAAGTAAATTTTCAGTGTATTCCATTGTTTAAGAGTAGACGTTCTCTCTATGTTGAAATTTTAGCAAAGGATTTTGGTGCACATTAATATTTAAATATTCCTTTGATGTTATTTCAAGGTGTGTTTGCAAGCTGTGTTCACTGTGCATGTTCTGTTGTAGTTTTTAAAACAATTCCCATAGAAGATTAATCTCAAACAAAAGGAATAAGTGGTACACTGTATAAACTGAATTACATATATATTGCAAGCTATATAGTATATTTTAAAGGTATAGAATGTACTTAAATAGTCTATATATATATTATATATATAATAACCAAAGACTATTTAAGTACATTCTAGACCTTTAAAATATAGCTACTAATATTGCAATATATATATATAATAACTAAATATTGCAATATTGCTAGCTATATTTTAAAGGTCTAGAATGTACTTTAAATAGTCTTTGGTTATATATATATATATATGTGAAAATCTGGATAATAACCAAATAGCTAGCAATATAGCAATATATATATATTGCTATATTGCTAGCTATTTGGTTATTAACCAGATTTTCACATGCATGTACTATCCACCTATAATTTGAAAAATTAGTTACCATATTATCCTCAGAGTAGTTTTTTTCACCTCTGTACCCACAGCAAATGAAGCTGTTTAGAAATGGATTTTCCCGTGTGAATCACAACTGAATGATCGATAAAAACATTTCATTTCATGTCGGAAATCAGAAATATTGAATAAATCGGAAAATTTTATTTCATTTTAATTATTCAAGCATCATCCACATTGTTGCTTCCAGTGGAATGATATTCCCATTTCTTTGTAGATACTGTCCTTATAGGATGTTATACTTTGTGGTAAAACTCTGGATGTGTTAAATACGTGTGTGTGACTTGCCTCAGGGGTATATGGAGGGGTGCTAATTATGTTGATTATGGTACTGCAGTCAAGTTTTAGTTTATACAATGAACTTTCCGTATATAACATACATATAGAAATGCATTTTGAGAAAAGTGTTTTATTGTAATGGGAGATGAATTTAGGGGACGTGTGCTTATGATGCTAATAATGTGTGCTTATGATGCTAATATTGTAAGGTGTAAATATTCAGCAGCTGTTTTATGACCTCATATAAATATTCAGCCTAGAATGTACTTAAATAGTCTTTAGTTATTATTGTAATGTTTAAATATTCAGCAGCTGTTTTATTCCATATTGACCTAGAATGTACTTAAATAGTCTTTAGTTATTATTGTAATGTTTAAATATTCAGCAGCTGTTTTATTCCATATTGACCTAGAATGTACTAAAATAGTCTTTAGTTATTATTGTAATGTTTAAATATTCAGCAGCTGTTTTATTCCATATTGACCTAGAATGTACTTAAATAGTCTTTAGTTATTGTAATGTTTAAATATTCAGCAGCTGTTTTATGCCATATTGACCTAGAAAAATGTACTTAAATAGTCTTTAGTTATTATTGTAATGTACTGTTTTATTCCATATAGGCCTAGAATGTACTGTTTTATTCCATATAGACCTAGAATGTACTGTTTTATTCAATATAGGCCTAGAAGGTAATGTTTTATTCCATGTAGACCTAGAATGTACTGTTTTATTCCATATAGGCCTAGAAGGTAATGTTTTATTCCATGTAGGCCTAGAATGTACTGTTTTATTCCATATAGACCTAGAATGTACTGTTTTATTCCATATAGGCCTAGAAGGTAATGTTTTATTCCATGTAGGCCTAGAATGTACTGTTTTAGTCCATATAGGCCTAGAAGGTAATGTTTTATTCCATGTAGGCCTAGAATGTACTGTTTTATTCCATAACTAAACAAATTCTAGCGTGCATACCACAACAAAGTTCAGAATAGCATTTGGGATGACAAATATAGCTTTGAAGTAACATGTGACCAAATCATGATGAAGTATGCTTAGTAAGGGCCATGATGATGAGGTCACAAGCCCTCACAATGATTTGGCAGGATGAATATTTTGACAAGTCATTTATCATGAAATAGTACAACATTGGTGTTGCTGTTGAGTGGGGAAATATTAATCACAGACAATCATGAGACAGGTTGACTATGATTATCCCTATGCTGAGTGCAGGCTGGATTGGTGGTTTCACCAGCCCTGATAATGAATAAGTATCACTAATGGCTGTAAATGGTACAAATTTCCGTACAGAGTGACAAATCACTGGTATAATCACCAGACATTAAATATGATTTCCTCGGAGTCTTTTATGTTTGTGATTTGAGTGTAGTTGAACTTTTGACTATATTTATGACTTACATCAACTGGAAATATTTATACATACTGACACCATGCCTACATGACTGACCTGCCCCTAACAATAGCGCTGCTTAGTGTTGCGTGTTGATTGCAATACTTACAAAGGGACCAGTCATTGTACAAAATTGGACAGAGATCTTCACTGGCAGGGCACCAGGGGCTCATTTAGCTTTGGATGCGGGCAGATATTATGCATGTTTATAGTTTGAAGGAAAATGGACATGTTTATATTTTATTTAGTCCTTGATGACACTAATAACAGGAGATGTTCTTATAGGTATGGATGGGCAGCGAGATTCGTGGAGGAGAATTCTGTAGAACAGGGGAAGGGTCAGACAAATTACATTAATGTTGGGAAGGGTAAACTTAAATGTAGAGGTCCATGAATAATGATCATGACTTTCCCTGAACTAAAATAGTGCAAATTGTTAATTGTTTGTATTAAATTAAATAGGATGACATTAACATGAAATGATCCTTTACATAAAGCAACTATTGTTTGTAAGAGGATAAGTTCAGTGGAGTAGGTTTTAAGGTAGATCAGAGCTTTCTACAGGGTTTCAGATAAGAGGTTAAATTTAGTTGAGTAAGTCTTAAGGTAGAAGAGAGCTTTTTTCAGATGCTCAGATAAGAGGTTATATTCAGTGGACTATGTCTTTAGGTGGAACAGAGCTTTCTAGAGGGTTTCAGATAAGAGATTGAATTTCGTTGAGTAAGTCTTAAGGTAGAAGAGAGCTTTCTTTAGCCTCTCAGCTGACAGGTTAGGTTCAGTGGAGTAAGGAAGAACAGAGTCTATAATATATTAAATCTCTGGCAACATGATCAGTTGTTATCACTGGCTCTTGGACTGTTTGAAAAGCCTCTGCATAATCAATTATTTGAATACATAGTTCTTTAGGGTTTTGGAGACAGACTTATGTATTAGTGTAGGTTTCCTGATCTCAACATGGGTTTTAACAATACAATGTACTCTTCATTTCATGATGATCTTACATTCAGGGACAGTCACAGGGTTTAGTATTTCAGTGTTGGTCCCATCATCACATTTCTACCATTGCATAGTGATCCTGTGTTGTAGTGTGCTGCAGCTGCTAATCCATCCCTGCTTACCTCCCCTGCTAACTAACTAATCTGTCCCTCATAGAACCGCCCGGGCACGGTGCCACCGTCAGGCTCTGGCAGTAGTCTGTCTCATTCCCAGAAACTTCCGTCGGAGAGCGACATCGAGAACTACGCCCCGGACCTCAACCGACACAAAAAGGGACTGTTTGGGAAGAAAGTGCCTCTCACCAACATGCTGGTCTGATCAAAGGTAATCTTTTGAGACTCCTACATGTTCGGGTTTTATGTTACAATTTGAACATCCACGATACACTATTCAAACTTCATGAGGACCGTGGTGTAGTGGTTAGAAGCGGGAAGAAAGTTTGATCCCCCGACCCGCCATACCCGTTAAAATATGGTACTTGTTGGTCCCTGGTCGGCATTAATGGGTACAACAAGGACTGGTCGGCTCGGAGTCAGTATAATGTGTTTTGAGTGAGGTATTCATGCTTCATGCATGGTATCTTATAGCACTATAAAACCAGCTTCAGTCTGGGCTAGTACAAGCAACATACACACATGAATGCACGTCGTCATACAAGCCGACGAAAACCCAATTTCACCTCACCTCACCTCAAACTTCATGAACCAGCCTACTTATTGATGCTTCTGTTTGTATATGAAGCCAGCTTTACATTATAACAAAACCTACCAAAGTACCATTGTCAAAACATTGTTGGCACTTCACCAGTATTAGAGTCTGTTTCTGACAAGCAGAGCCTGAAGCCAAGTTATGACGTGAATTGCAGCAATATTGACTTCTGCCATATAAGTTGCAATGGAAAGGGAGGTGTAATCAGGGGTGGAAATAACTTTAAAATTGCTAGTGTACTCCGGTACAGTGGCACATGTAAAATCACTTGCCCTGATAATTTTTCCACTATACCGTCCGTTTTCTTGTTGATTTTTAAATAAACAACATAATTAATATTGGAAAGTCAACTGGACACTGGTACAGTGTGATATACAAATTTGCTTGCCTGACAGAAAAAAACACTGGACTCGGGCGTCGGGCAATGGGTTATTTCCACCCCTGGTAATATGTGTAATGACGCCTAATGTAATTAATGTGTTCCCGTGTATATTCATGTGTAATTCTGCATGTTTCAGGACCTGATACAGAAACCCATGCTGAGGACCAATGACAAAAACATGAAGAAAGAAGCATGTGACGTCTTCAAATATATCCTTGTGAGTTGTACACCGGTCTCATGCCCCTCGCTATCACTTCCTGTATCTTCGCATCAGCACCTCACTGTCACTTCCTGTATCTTCGCATCAGTCAGGACTTTTGTCAGAGCGATACCCCTTCATCCTAAAAACTAAAGCATGTGGCTGCTAAGACTGAAACTGTCCAATTTCTTTCACACCAGTGTAGTAGTACTTCTACCCTTTATGGTAATTACATGGTTTACAGTTTTAAAGGTGCGGTGGGGTAGCCTAGTGGTTAATGCGTTCGCTTGTCATGCCAAAGATCCAGGTTCAATTCCCCACATGGGTACAATGTGTTAAGCCCATTTCTGGTGTTCCCCACCTTGATGCTGTTGGAATATTGCTAAAAGCAGCATAAAACCACACTCGCTCACTCACTCACTCACTCACACACTACAGTTTTAAAAAGATCAACCGGTATGGTATGGTATGCTTGATTGTCAAATTGGAAGAAAAATTGTCGGACTTACAAAACAGTCTCAACTTATAGCTTCCAAATCGTATTCAATGACTTCTGAGTTGTTCCTGGTACTTTTAAACACACTATTTGTTGTCAGAACGTGGAATGGACATAAGTTATCAGTTGCCAACAGAATCTTTCTCTTAGATAATGGTTGTCTGTGCTTTCAGCACTTTTATAGTTAACATAGAAACATAGAAATGTCTTGTAAACCAGGAATAGCTAAAAAAATGTTTCTTCTTAAATATATTTTATTAACATGTTTAAGAGGTGTGGCTTCACCTCCAATGACCTACAGAACTAGAGACTCAGGAGACATCGATAACCAAGTTTTGGGTCTTTACTGGAATTGGGGTCCTGTCCAGCAAGGAGATGATGTAGTGTATAGTTTTGTAAGATTTGATAGTTAGTTTAATTGCAGAACCTGAATATTTCTTGTCAAGAATTTTCTGCAAAGATCATTGTACATTTCTGGGCTGTGTAAAACCTGTCAGCCTATTTTGCAGTGGTCTTTCTCCACTTGTTCGAAAGAGAGAGTAGCGAAACCTTGGCTTGGCTTGGCTTCCTTGGCTTTGGAAATTTCAATCCACAAGGAAATATTCCTCACGAAAATGATGTTGGATGTAGACATTATGTCCTGTTTGAGTCCTTAACAAGTTTACATATCCAGATGTACATGGGAGATCGCAAGACAAAGCAGGCCCCGATGAGCGTTGCCCTAGATATCATAACTAAAGGCTGGAGTATCCCCCAGCTGCGAGACGAGATCTACATCCAGCTCTGTCGTCAGACTACAGAGAACAAAAAAGAGTGAGTAAACAGAATTACACAATGAAATACCATGGATTCAGTACACTCAGTAAATAATGTTTTTAACCATCCGTTAGTGAATTCACCAAGATCAAAACTGGTCATCAGAATCTGGTTTACAAAGCACTTCACACTCTTGGCCCATATGATTAAGTTGGTTAGCACCTCTCCATGTGTGATATTTAACCACTGTTAGCTGATGTTTCATGTCTTGAAGCTTAAACATGTATCACACTTGATTAGGACAATATTAGGGGTGGGTATTGCAGAGAATTTTCATATTGCGATATATTGCGATGCGGAAGCATATATTGCGATATGTATTGCAATATATTGCAAGGATTATTTTTTTAACAAAAACTACTTATAATCGAGTTAATGCTTGATTATAAAGCAAAAACACAACAAAATCACTATGATTGATTAACCTTTTATAAAAACTTTTAATCATGACAAAATAAAAATGTAAGTAACATTTGGCACTAATGAAACAGGGAAAAGAACAATTAAAAAACGGAAATATCCGAAGATTTCCGACTGTTACGAAGTTTTCGAATGCATGTCAAAATACCGGTTTTCGATCAGCGTATCGCAATACGTATCGTTTTCATGTCTGAACCGGTAAATACCGGTAAACCGGTTATATTGCGCAGCCCTAGACAATATACATATACATAACCACTGATTAAACTTGATTTTTTTTTTTAAAACAGGATTTATATATTGCAATGAACTTGTCCTAAACAGAGCAGCTCTGACTGTGTGCACTGTTTAATAATTTTGTTCCGTTAATTCCTTTGAAACAGTTGAAATCAAACTAATGTATTTTTGCATGAGACCTGTGTTGATATTTACTGACTGGTGTTTCAGGGAGAGCCTACAGCGTGGCTGGGAGCTGATGGCTGTCTGTCTCAATTTCTTCCCTCCAACACACAAGTTCTACTCGTACCTGGAGGGCTACATTTCCAAACATATGGACCAGATATTTGATATGCCAAATGTAAGCAGTTGTAGCATGAAGATTTTTATTTCTATTCCAGAATACTGAATATTTACTGACATTGATATAAATTATTGTTGTATTACATTTTGTGATCCTCTTATCTAAGGGAGGTAATTTGCAACATAACATCAGAGTGATCTCCCATTAAGACTCTCCTGGTTTTGTGGATTATGGTGACCTCAAATCAGCACTTGTTGTCTCTATAAATATGTGAGATGATCAAAATGGTTTATTTTTTTACATATTGCAAACTTTTATTGTTCTACCACTACAATTTAGTTATTGAACTGGACTATCTGGTAGTGGATACCTAAAACTAAAATGTTATAGTTCTTGGACCTTAATGTCAAATTGTGACCCGTGAAGATCCGGGGTAGAATAGGTCTTCAGCAACCCATTCTTGTCATAAAAGGCGACTATGCTTGTCGTAAAAAGCGACTAACGGGATCGGGTGGTCAGGCTCGCTGACTTGGTTGACACATGTCATCATATCCCAATTGCGCAGATCGATGCTCATGCTGTTGATCACTGGATTGTCTGGTCCAGACTCGATTATTTACAGACCGCCGCCATATAGCTGGAATATTGCTGAGTGCGGCGTAAAACTAAACTCACTCACTCACTCACTAATGTCAAATTGTTGAAAATGGTGAGAGACTGCCTCTGTGAGACCACCGATTGTAGTGCCTAAAGTGCCTTGATGGGGAGGTCTGTGTTTGGATTCCTGATCCCGTTTTGTGTCTCCAGAAAGAGGTAAATGATGGCTGAGAATCAGCATCACTTTGATCAGCAAGTAGTGGTTGTCTCCATCGTCCTTGTGTGATTTGTATCCATGTTGATGTTTACAGTGATGTTAAGTCTCATTTTGCAACACCTGGCCCCAATTTCTTGAAACAAACTTAAGTTTTTACTCAAATTTCAAACTGAGTTTGACAATTTGAAACAACTGAATTTTTAACTCAACTGCATTTTTAAAATAAAAAGCCCAAACAATCTCTCCACTAAACTCAAATTGCCTTCTATGTTTGAGTTTAATAACGATTTCAGTTCTTTCTGGGAAATTTGAGTAAAAACTCCAACTTAAGTCAAAACTCAGACTTAAGTTTGTTTTGAGAAATCGGGGCCTGGTCTTAACACACATAGAGAACCTGGTTAGACATCAACTAAATAATGGCATACAAACAATTAAACACTGTCAAGCAGGAAACAGTTATTGATGATATGTTATAGTCGAAGACAGTGCTTCATGGTCTAGGTATGTACATGTATATTGAGTATATTTTTCACTGAAACTTGTTGGTTGCAGGTGCCAATCAGTCACTTTGCTAATCACTGCTACCAAAGACTAGAGCGAGCCCTGGCAACCGGCGCCAAGAAGGGAGTCCGAAAACCTACCTTAGATGAGGTGGAACAGGCTAAGGTAAGAATTACCTTTATGTAAAACGGATGTAAGCAAAACATTGAACATTAAATCATAATGGACGATCGACAGTGCATTGACACACAGAGTAATATTTTTTTAACAAATATTGTGTGGAGTAATTTTAAGGCTGTGCTTTAATGAACCATATTTGTAACCAGAAGATTGTGTCCCTTTGTTGATCTTGTGTTTGGATCCCAGGTTTGTATGATTATGATCCAAGTTTTTGTTGTGTACAAACAAAGCGGTAAACATCTATGGTGCATGTCTGTTTCTTGTTTGTCAATTGAGTTGACTTGGCTCGCATAGAGAAGTACTATAAACAAAAGAAGACCTGGGTTCGATTCCCCAAATGATATTGCTGGAATATTGCTAAAAGCTGCATAAAACTAGACTCACTCACTCACTCCATTTGCAGAAATCCATCTTCCACCCGTCTATGTTCGGAAGTTCCCTTGATGATGTACTGCTGATGCAAAAGGATCGTTATCCTGAAAGGACGTTGCCATGGATACAGACAATCCTTTCGGAAGAAGTTCTACGACTCAATGGTGCTCAGACGGAGGGCATATTTAGGTACTGGTCTTCACAAGTGTTGATGTTTCAGTAGAACATGGCAAAGTTTCTAAATGTTTGATGCCTTTCACAATGCATGTGTCTCCTAGCTCATACATGTCTCTTAATTTTCCATCATGTGGAGTGTTTCTATACAGACTTCTTTCGTCTGAAATAGCTGGAACGAAACAGAATTTTACTAGACTCTGGCTCTGGGCCCGTGGCTGCCATGCATGTATGTGCACCTTTGCAGTTTGCCTGTGAAAAGGCACTTTATTTGAAATCCTTCATTAGTCTGAGAGTGGACGAGCTTGCTGGTTTATCTATTAAAATACACGTATGCTGCTTCTGCCATAACATTCACTGATCTTTCCCATCTCAGAGTGCCCGGTGATATTGACGAGGTAAATGCGTTGAAGATTCGTTGTGACCAGTGGATCCCCGTCAGACTGCCCCGACCCCCATGTGCCGGCTTCCCTGCTCAAGCTGTGGTACCGAGAGCTGTACGAACCTCTCATACCCTCCCATTTCTACGAGGACTGCGTTGTCAATTACTCCAACCCGGAGGCAGCCATCTCAGTGGTCAACCAACTGCCCCACATCAACCGCCTTGTTCTCTGTTATCTCATTAGGTTTCTCCAGGTGAGTGAAGAAATCGTCAACCTCCTTGTCTGTTCCAATTTATTCCCAGTTGGACAAAGCAAGGTTGTCATACTGATGTATGATAGTGTTTGATGCAGTTTGTGATATTATCTTTGGAGATATTAATGAGGCCCTCCATGTGATAACAGTGATGCTCTTGCAAGGCTCAAACATTTTCAATTGTCTTTCCCGATTTCACCCTGCCTAATCTGAGATATCAGTTTGTATACTCTGTCAAATTATTGATAAAGGGAGGCAACTCTGTTGAAAATTATGAACCAATTCAAGTAATTTTGTAAACATTCCTGGATTAAGAGAGAAGAGTATTTTTAAACCCTTAAGCAGGGACAAACAAAATAAAAGCTTGCAAATATTTTGAAATGCATGTGTACTTTTCTTTCAGGTATTTGCTGCTCCAGAGAACGCCAGTGTCACAAAAATGGACGTAAATAACTTGGCAATGGTGATGGCACCTAACTGTCTCCGCTGTGAGAGTGATGACCCTCGGATCATATTTGAAAACACACGCAAGGAAATGGGATTCCTTCGGACACTAATCCAACATTTAGATACCAGCTTCATGGAAGGCATTGTTTGATTGTGGAGCTGAAATTAGTCTTTTTTTTCTCACTTGTTGTTTTCTTGAGTATTACGGAAGCTGTTGATGAACAGCAGAAATAATCCTTCACTGTTATGAGAGTTCAGCCTTCCATGTCTTTCCAGACTTCTTTGCTGAAGAGCTCCACATTGACGTTTTCTTTATCTCCAGTGCTGAAGAGACGAATCTTCCAAGCTGTTATGAAGTGTTAATCCAGTTACAACCGTGTTACGTCGTCATTGTACTTGTACATAGGGCAGAACCAATACAATGTTGTGAAGGCATTTAGGCAGATCTGGATCAACAATTGACAATGATATTTAAGTTTACATCTCTTTTTTTTCAAAGCAATTTTTATGATTAAAATTCATATTAATACAAGAAAAGAAAATTGGATTATTGTTATTTTTTTTATCTTATAAAACTGTTAGTCATATAAGGGAATAAAGGTTTTATGAAACAGGATGTTATGTGTGCAGAGAAATTAACCAGAAAAAGTTGCGTTAATTTGTGCAACATTGAAAGCTGAACCAGATCTGCCTGACGATGAGCCTTTGACCATAATACCAGCTGCATAACCACATTGTATGGCTCGTAATGACGTTGAACTGTTTATGTGGTGATGTTATTGTTGTCATCATGAGCTTCCCTTGCAGTGAGATGCACCACCTATACTCAAACACGTAAGAAACGCAACATTTTCATTCATGTTTATACTGACACAAGATGGTTGTCCTGCCTTACCATGAAACAGTTTGCAATACTGGTCAGATTATACTTCTCATTGATTCTTTCTTATTACAAAAGTTATTGTGTCATGGCATAGAGATTAACTATGGTAATATGAAAGAATTGGCTGGTGATTAACTGCCATGACAAATTACTGTAGTAATATGAAAGAATTGGCTGGTGATTAACTGCCATGACAAATTACTGTAGTAATATGAAAGAATTGGCTGGTGATTAACTGCCATGACAAATTACTGTAGTAATATGAAAGAATTGGCTGGTGATTAACTGCCATGACAAATTACTATAGTAATATGAAAGAATTGGCTGGTGATTAACTGCCATGACAAATTACTGTAGTAATATGAAAGAATTGGCTGGTGATTAACTGCCATGACAAATTACTATAGTAATATGAAAGAATTGGCTGGTGATTAACTGCCATGACAAATTACTGCAGTAATATGAAAGAATTGGCTGGTGATTAACTGCCATGACAAATTACTGTAGTAATATGAAAGAATTGGCTGGTGATTAACTGCCATGTGTAGTAATTAACTGTGATTAACTGACAAATTACTGTAGTAATATGAAAGAATTGGCTGGTGATTAACTGCCATGACAAATTACTGTAGTAATATGAAAGAATTGGCTGGTGATTAACTGCCATGACAAATTACTGTAGTAATATGAAAGAATTGGCTGGTGATTAACTGCCATGACAAATTACTGTAGTAATATGAAAGAACTGGTGATTAACTGCCATGACAAATTATAGTAATATGAAAGAATTGGCTGGTGATTAACTGCCATGACAAATTACTATAGTAATATGAAAGAATTGGCTGGTGATTAACTGCCATGACAAATTACTGTAGTAATATGAAAGAATTGGCTGGTGATTAACTGCCATGACAAATTACTATAGTAATATGAAATAATTGGCTGGTGATTAACTGCCATGACAAATTACTGTAGTAATATGTGAAAAGAATTGGCTGGTGATTAACTGCCATGACAAATTACTATAGTAATATGAAAGAATTGGCTGGTGATTAACTGCCATGACAAATTACTATAGTAACATGAAAGAATTGGCTGGTGATTAACTGCCATGACAAATTACTGTAGTAATATGAAAGAATTGGCTGGTGATTAACTGCCATGACAAATTACTATAGTAATATGAATGAAAAGATTATGCTAATCTTAAATACTGATTGACTGTAGAAAAGTGAAATATCTTGGCTTCCCATTGCTTCTTTTGAGTAGCAAAGGTGAGGTTAAAATAAAGTGAATTAGTGTCAGGATGTTGCCATGCTTACTTTGTCATTCACAATATCCCAGAACCACAAGTCGGTTCCAGTCAACTCATTATTGAACGGTTTGGGTACGAGGTTTAAACTGCTGGTTCAGCATACTGAAGACCCACCCTTATTCTTGAGTACACTGTGTGAAACATAAGTATGGTGTCCGTTGATGGTGAATTCGCGTAAAATCATACACCCTCACTCATACTGCTTCTGTATTTGGGACAGAAATGTTTGCACTTATGTGAATGTTTGAAGGAGTTAATCGCTTCAGTTTGGTGGTGTTCCACTAGGATTTTCGAAGTGAGTGTTGCGTTTCTAAAGGGTTTCAGTATACTTATAGGGCAATGTTTGTCCAGTCATTAACAACAATATACAGATAACAGCTAGGACTAGTAGTCTTCAGGGAGTGAATGTTTTTCCTATAATTTTACATTTTTAAGTTTAAAAACTGTGGAATCTTTTATTGGGACCTTATTGCCTTATCATCAGAGGAAGAAATGTGTCCCTTTGTGAAAAAAAATTGAAATTATTTGCCAAACATAAATTTCAGAATGTCTTTATCATGATTGAAAAGTCTGTCAAATATAATTAAAATTATTTAGTTTTCTTTGGAAACATCTTATAACAGTAATGATAATGTAGAAATAATATGCAAAAGAGTTTTATTATACTTTAAACTGATATGTATTTAGAGATAGAATTGTAACAAATCAAAATTTTGTTTTGGCCAAATCCTAATATTTTTCGTTATCAAAGTTTGGTTTGAGAAAACCAATGTATAAACACAGATTTCTCTGGTCTTAGTATTGTGTCAAGTATGAAAAGATAAACAGAAATGTGTCGCAGTGTCATTGGCGTATGTTCAGGGTTGCCTGCCAAAACATGAAAAATGAAAAAGCATTTCCCTCCCTTAAGCTATTGATTGATCCCTATGTCAGGTGTTTATGCTAATGTAGGAGGGCATATTCCAGTCGCAAGATAGCTGTTGCTGAATCACGTGACACAGGACACAGTATCACGTGCCACAGGACACAGTATCCTCACAACATCGCTGAAAGTCCGTTATAGATGCTGGTAGATCTAGCCAGAGCTGGCAACCCATCCACAAACCACTTTACTCCCATTCTGCTGATAACCAGCTAGTAATTGGGGGATGCACACTTTATCCTCAATGAGATGTGACTGGATGTACTGGACGATGATGTTGACAGCAGCCATTTTGTCATGTAGCACGTCCTATGTCACGTGATCACCATATGGAGCAGAAAATCCAGTATTGCAAGTATTATTATCGCCTTCCGTTAAATCATTGTCTTTTGGCACGAATCCTGTTCAATTTTGAAATGGGCCAATCATTTTGAACAAAGTTGTGGCACGATGTAGCCATCATATTGTAGTTTATGAGTGTTTAGTGTGTACTATACAACATAATGTGTTATTTATTTATTAAACTGTCAATATTCAAGAAATCTATTATGGATCCGAGAGCACGGTTTGAACAAAGTATGTTTTTACAGTTACAATCAGGTCAAGGCACGGATGTGATATGCACATTTTACTTGTCAGAGTATTTAATGATTTTAAAATATTTTATGATTTACTGAAATTCTATGTTATGAAATAATCAAAGTTACATTTAACTTTTATAAAATATATCTTAACATTTTTGATCACTTTTAGATAAATTTGTGTATGTAAACTATTTGAGATTCGTTTGGTGTTGCAAGATGCAGAACCTAATACTGCTCATATCTACTCATCCAAAATAATAGTTACGAAAAAAAACAACCCTTCATTTTGTATCTTAGAGTCAGATGTTTTTTTACAAAGTTAAAGTTTTTATGGTTTGGCGAAAATCAAAATTGAAATGTCTTTTTAAAACTTAAATTAAGCAAGATGTAACGATTATTAATGTTATATGACAAGTGAGTGTTTAAAATATTAGTGGTTTCCAGCAATTACACAATTAATTTATGGTCTTGTAATAGTTGAGATAAGGGTTTACAGAAAACTGTTTCAGTTGTTTTGGATGAGTAGACTCCTGTCAAATTTTATGTAAATTATCACAAATTATGTATAAAAATATACTTGTTTCATTTAAATATTTTGTAGATATTTATGAGTGTAAATTTAGATTGCGTTCTCCACATATCTGTACAAAACTTAATCTGTGAAAATATTACATTTCACCTCGCTGAAGTTGATTCAGTGAAAATATAACCAGAATGCACTGCACAATATGGATATGCTGCCTGTATACGATAAACTTGATTTGAGAATGAGTGACATTTGCATAATGCAATGTATGTCATTTTCGCTGAACGAGACAAGACGGAAGTAACGTGACAGAAAGCGCCATATTCATATGGTTTATCCGAAGGCTGTTGATCATAGCTGATGATAAACTTTGTACAATTTTTTGTAATATTGACTTTGTATGATAAACACTCTTTGATGATGTACATAATGTATGTATATTTACATACCATGAAATGTACATTTGTAGTTTAGAGAAGTTGACGTGATCCATTTTCATGATATTGTCGTTAATTTCATGGAGAGAATGTACGTACTCTAACTGTATGTGTAGTAGATGGCGTGACTATTGTATTTATTTTGTATGTATGGTTGATCCAAGGACTTGTATCAGTACAAGCAGTTAATGGACTTCGTGTTTGTGTACAGTTAGTGTCATTTTAACCCTTTATTCGGAAGGGACGTTTGTTTATGTTTACTAATAATATCATAATATGGCAATATAATCGATGAAACAAGAATGACTTGCTTGGCATATTTTAGTCACTAACATAATTTTTGTGTTTCGTAATGTTAAATGTTACTTAAACCTATTTGTCATTGTTTACTTCATCAGAAACCATTTTTTAGCCTTCATCCAAGGTGACTTATCTACTGAATGTAAACGTACTAATCGTTTGAATTTAAGGTTAATTGAAGTATTAACAGAAATATATGATGATTGGTAGTTGTAGCAGATTAATCAAATGGAAACAGTTAGATTTGAAGTGATACATACAATAACCGTTTAGAAGCACCTGAATCAAAATGTAGTTATATATATATACTGTAGATCTAAACCACACAGATACTTTACACTAGCTTGGCTTGACAAGAACATGATACTACCTGACAGACAACTATTCTATATTATTGAGATTTAAGAAAATTATTTTAGCCAGTTTCTCATGTTCTTAAAATATATGCACAAATTGTGACGTTTCTTCATAACATATGATTTCCCGTTTGATTAAAAATGTGGTGTAGAAATTAAGCTCATATGAACAAATAGTTATGGCAATATTGAACAAGAATGTATAACAAGATTTTTATTTTTGACCTTATTCTTTGTTTGGTTGAAAACTGCTTCAAAATAAAGGTTCCTATATCCAATTTCAAACACTATGCTCAGGGTTGGTATTAATGGTTTGCACAAATGAAAATGTTCTGTACGGAGCATCAAGTCAGACATTGTGTCCATTCAATACACCTTGTACATTGACAACTAGGAGGTATCAGCCATTACCCAATTTCATAACATAACTGTTCTGCCTAGAAATGTTGTAAAATCAAACTTATTGCCTTTTGAGGACTCATGAAGAATTTGTATATTTAATTTTGTTTCAAAAAGTGTATAACCTCATATTAGAGTTTTCATTTTTCAGTAAAAAATTACAGTTAACATGTGAATGCAGCTGCTCCTAAGGACTTCACTTGTTTTGAACTT